CCCCAAAACCCCAAAACCCCAAAACCCCAGGGTATGATTATGACTGAATTCGTGGAAAATGTTAATTTATCAATAATAATTGTTGTTTTATTATGCATTTTGATATCCTTTCTTCTATGGCTTAAAACTCTGAGAATTCATATTGAAGTCTCCTTGATTGAAGTTTTAAGTAGGTTAAAACTACTGCTGATTATTTCCAAATTAGTCCTAACTGAATTAGTCATACTATGGTTAAGCATAATAATCCTATTAATAAAAGTCACCTCCTCCGAAGCTATTTTGCTAGTATCTATTATCATATTACTAGTAATTCTAATTAGCCCCTGGATAGAAACTTTCACTCTACACTTGAAATTGCCCATCCTACTTATATTATTACTGATTTTAGCTATAAGAATTTTAAGAGAGCTCCTTCTTTATTGGTCTGAACTCTTTTGACTCTGAACTAAGATTTTAAACTGGCCCTAAATTCTCAAATTATCCTGGCTAAGTTGACTAGTTCTAGCCTCCTCCTTGTGATGAATGACCCTGCTTGTAGTTTTAATGTTTATTGAATCCTCCCTTGCCATCATTATGCTGATGATGCTTATATTAGTTATTGTGCTTATCATAATGACCAGGCTACTATTAGGTATTTTTACCATCATAGACTTTACCATGATGCTAATAATGATTGGTATTGTCAAATTTTGCTTAGTAATCATCTTTCTTATGTCGATGATCTTATGGATTAAAGTCACCATGATTCTATTAGTTTTGATAATTTTTATTGCCACCTTTTTATTGATGATAAGACTGCTGATCACTTGAATGCTAATGCTAGTCTTTGTGACCTTATTTTTAATTGTGATAACCCTTATCAGTATTGCTACTATGCTAGTAGGTTTTCTTGTCCTTCCCATATTGCTAGTCAGAATTTTGCTGCTAGTTTTAATGCGAACCATTGCTTTGAATATCATCCTTTTACTTTACTCTATAAACCTAGGATTACTAGTCATTCTTCTGCTTCTATGCGTATTTATCCTAGTTACCATCTTTGTTAGCATGATGATGAGAATTTTAATCATGCTTGTTGTGGTTATGCTGCTGATTCTTATGCTGCTTATCTCTGTTCTAATGCCTGCTTCTTTTTTCATCATGATATTTCTACTCTTTGTCAATGATTGCTTATACCAATGGTGCTATTTTTTGAGGTTCTAAGAGTAATTAGTTATTTTTTCAGTTATCACTTACTTTTAGGCTTCACTGGTGTTTCATTCTTCAATGGTTTTTCTTCTACTTATTTTTCCTCAGTAGTTGCTGCACCTTCAGATGGAACAGTTGTAGCCTCTCCCTCTTTTTTATCCTCGACTTCCTCTTTAGCTTATTCTTTCTCCTTGTCATCAGCTGCTTTTTCTTTTACTTACTCTTTAACAGAAACTAATGGCTCAGGAACTTTGTTGAGTTTCTCGATATATTATTTGTAGTCATCTTCCTCGAAAATAGTGTTTTGCAATTAATTAGTCTTTTATGCTTTGTCAAGTGGCAGCGAAGTGTAAATGCTTCTCTGCACCAATAAGAGATACGATTTTCCCTTTTCATCTTGAATCATAAAGTTGTTAAATTTAGTAATAAACTACTCAAGAGTTTCCCTTAACTCAAAGCCATAATATGCTACTGAATAGTCATTTCTCTCTCTATAAGTGTATATCACTTTATATTCCTAAATTAGAGAGTACTTACTTAGTTTTTCCTGGCAGAAATTGCTTATAATCAATCGGCAAATCCACATTGAACCCTTGATAAAACGCTTCCTCACTTAAGAAATTAGGAATCTTTCTGACTTCAGCCTTATAAAGCTTAGGATGCAAATTTTAACTCATTTTATGGTTTTCTTTCATTATTGAAAATGATTAATCAATTATTTATATATCACGACTCCTCCACGATATACTAAGATGGGGTTTTGGGGTTTTGGGGTTTTGGGG